TTGAGGCAATATCCCCAGAGAAGGAATACAACGACTGCCCTTGGGGTATTTTCCTGGCTTCTGATTCCAAAGCTGGCCTGCTCCGCCCATCCATGAGCCATCCATCCATGAGCCGGACCGTTCTTGCCCGTTACTTCGTACCACCTCTCCTGTGCTCTGAGAGCAGTGAAGAGCCATGACTTGGGGAAAGGGGAGAGGGATGTTTCCTGAAAGACCTCACAAGAGGATTCAACATGAAATGTTCTATGCTATTTTTTGAGTGGAAGATGAGAAACATCAGTCTCTGAGTATCCCTTGATCAGTACCTACTGAATGCTCCCCACAGCAGGCAGAGCGCAGGATGAGGGTGCCGGGGTGTCAGCCATAGGACAGTCCTCCTGGCAGGATTGACTGCAGCCTGCTCTCCAGGGTATCTTGTGAATAGGATGGAGAGTGTCCTTCCTGCCTCCCTGCATGACTTTCAGGCTCTGTAGCAGAATCTGCCTGCTGTGGGCTCCGAACCATGGCAGTATCTAACCTGCTGGGTGAGGAGCTGCCTGCCTGGGCCTGAGACAGCCCTAGCACTCAGGAGTCCTGGCAGTGCCAGACTCGGGGCCCCATGCAGCCTCCTAGGCCCTCCTGCAGCTGATAGCGGGCCCCAGAAGGGACAGACGGTGCTCATGACTCCCACCACCTCCCTGCAGTCTGGTCCCTGTACTCACCAGCATCCCTTTGGCACCTTTTCCTACCATGGTGGTGGTGGGTTAGGGGCTCTGGAGTCCCAGATCACACTCACAGGCTTTTCTAGCACCTTTCAGAGTATAGGCCTCCAGACCTGTGGAGAGAGCAGACAATGAGGTGAGGATGTGGCCTGGGGAAGGCAGGGCAGGGCGTGTGCGGCTCTCCAGGACAGCTAGTGCAGGCCCCAGGACACTGCCGCTCTTCCCTCCCGTCCTGTCCCTTTCTGGATGACCCTCAATCCAGTTCCTACCTCAGTCTTCTCCCAACCCTTCCCCTGGATCCCCTGGTCTCCAGGCTTCCTGTCCCAATGGGCAAAGGTCTATTTTTGACTCTCCAGATGCCCAATTCTATAAAAGATAAAAAATGAACACAGAACTGGGACAGGGTCCAATTCCTTCATTGTCTGTGTGAATGGCCTCAACCTTTCCCCTGAAGGGGAGACAGCTTGGATCAGCACATGTTCCCCCACCTTGCCCCGACCAAGCGGCCAGGATGGGCCTTCCCTATCCTGGTGCTGCTCAGCGTGGGCTCCAGGCATCTGGGCGTGTTGTTACATCACTAACTTGGACCAGAAGCTCTGGGCACAGCAAACACAGCAGGTGTAGGCATGCCTCTGTGCCCTTGCTCAGGCGGGCCCCTGCCCAACACCTTGCCTCCTGCTCCCCAAGTGAAATTCTACAAACCCTTTGGGACCCTGCTTCAGTGTCACTTCTCCTCTGTAGCTTTTCCTGACATGGCCCCCACTCCAGAAGGAACAAATTGCTTCCTCTTTGGTGTTTTGTGCTACCGTGTCCTTATAAACTCACTCTAGACATATTTGCTTATGTCTGTCAACTGTACGTTGGCCAGTTCCCTGAGGGGTTGGATGTGTTTTATTGACCCCTCTGTGCCCAACTCAGCTTGCAGGAAGTGTTGGTGGAATTGGGTTGAAGCGAAATGGCTAACACTGAGGGCTTGGAATCAGGAGCCAGGTCAGCTCAAGAGATCTTTCAGAGTCAAGCGGGGCTGGCGGTGGGGGGTGGGGAGCAGACAGACTAGCCAGGAGGCACGGCCATGCGGCTGCTGGTGTCTGAAGGTTTGATGTTGGATGGATGCAGATGCAAGACGAGGTAGTTTTTGACATGCCCCAGGAATGGAATCAACCTTTGAAAGCCTCAAGGAATGCTCTCATGGGAGGAAATCCATGGTCAGATGGACAAGGACATTCACCTTTCATAGGACCTGGTCACAGGAAGGACTGGCGTCTTCTCTGGGTACTCTCAGGGAGTGGACTCTACTGCAAAGGCTATTCTGTGTCACTTCGCCCCACCCACAGCCACCTCAAGAGTTCACCCGCAGAGCCAGGAAGTCATTGGAAAGCTAGAAAAGAGGAGGAAGCAGCTTTTCTCTGCCTATGCAAATCCACTCTAGGTTACCTTTGGTCTTTCCCCTGGTCACCAGGTGTCCTACATAATCTCCTCAGGGCCAGGCAAGGGTGTGACTTGTGACCATTTCCCTTAGGTTAGTCACCCAGGCCAGGTTTCCTGCCTCTCTAGAGAAGTCCCTGCTCATGGCTTTGGTCTTCTGGGGGCAGCCAGGAGAAGAGGGAATGTGATCATACCCTTTTCTCATTCACCACATCCCTCCTTCCAAGCTATAAACTCTAGACTTGTTTTCAAAGCTGTCACGCTTTGGCTAACAAATAATAATGACAGTGATGATAGTAATGAAGGTTGGACATCATGCCTTCTGGTCAGGTGAGGAAACTGAGGACACTCTGTCCTGGACCTTGGGCTATAGGGTGATATCCCTGAGGAATGCAAATATGGCCCTTGTGTTCAAGGTGCTTCTCTTTCTCGGTGGAAAAAAAACTGCTTGGCAGCGGCTCCCAGGACAATGAGTTGGGTGCAAAGCTTTGCTACTTCTCCTGCCTCTGCTATTTCTGTTAAATGGCCCCATCCATCCATTCAAAAAGTACCACCTGAAAACCTATGATAGGTCAGGCCCTCTGATAGGGGTTGGGAATCCACATGACCCAGGCGCCAGGCCTGCCCCTCACACATATATGGGCAACTATTGACAAGCTCTCTATCTGTGCCATGAGGGTCAGAGTCAGGTTAGCTTGTGATGAAGTGCTTGGACTCTGGGACCTGGGAGGAGGAACTGACTCTGCCAACTCACTAGGTATGTGACTTCAAGCAAGTTGCTTAACCTTTCTGACCCTTGGTTTTCTCAATCTGGAAGATGGGGCTAATTATACTTCCTTTGTACCTTCTTAAGTTTTTGCTTAATTTTCGACTCTACAGGTCCTCCACTTTCTCCTCCCTTCCAATCCATTAATCTTCCCAAAGTCCTAAAACCCTGATTCCCTCCAATAGTCTTCCACAGCCAACAGGATATGGCCTAAATTGTTCAGCAGGCAGTTAGGGCTGGCCACAGTTCAATTAATTTATTTCACAAATATTTGTTTCAGGCTTGCTCTGGGCCAGACCTGTGCTGGGCACCATGAACTCTTCAGTCTCTGGCCTCCTGTAGCTTACAGGCTGGGTGGAAACGAGTGAAACTGGTGACTCAAATACGTATAATTAGAGCCTATGATAAAGGGTGCGAAAGTGAAAGATCCTCTTTACCAGAGTCTACACCAGTGAGGCCTGGCCTTGTCTGAGAGTTACAGAGGACTTTCCTGAGGAAGTGATGTTTAAGAGTCAGAGGGGGATGATTAGGCAACAGTGAGCAACAGAAGAGGAAGGGAGATTCAAGCAAATGAAATAATACAGAAAAAGACCAGGAGCCTGGGGCTCAGAGAGTGAGGGAGAAAGTGGCCAAAGATGAAGGTGGATGCAAAAGGAAGGTCAGGGTCTATGGGGCCTTGTTTTGATCTTTATCCTGAAGGCAATGACAGCCACTGAAGTCTTTAAATCAGAATTGTAACTGTGAGGAAGAGCAATTGGTAGTGTGTGCATTTTGAAAACGCCAACCTAGATTAGTATGGAGAAAAGACTGGAGGGAGGGGAGAGGGGAAGAAAGGAAATTGATTAGGAATAGGCCAGGCCAGGAATGAGGGGGCTTGGCTCAGGAAGGTGATGACAGGGTGGGGAGAGGTACACGGATTTGAGAAAAATATAGAAGGTAACTTTGGTAGGATTTGGTGATGCATTGGACTTGGGGGTGAGGGATAAGGAGGGGTCTCTGGTTTCTATTGGCATAATAGGAAGAAGCCAGTGCCCGTTCCAGGGACAGAAATGCAGGGCATGCTGCAGGTTTGGAGTGGGGAGAGGATGAGCTAGGTTGGGTGAGCTGGGTTCAAGCTGCCTGTGAGCCACCTAAGGGAGGACAGAGAGAGGACAGTCACAGAACCTGGTCCATCTTCACTGTCCCACTGCTCAGTCTTCCTGTCCTCCAAACAGGACCGTCAGGCCAATCAATTTTAAGGGTCCATCTGGGCCAAGCCTTGAAGTCATTGCTGGGGATGGAAAGGTGACAGGTTCTTTCCCTGCCTTCAAGAACCTCACAGTTTAGGAGAAAGATAGAAGAGAAAGTGCAATTTCCCATTCACTGTGATGGAGGGAGGGGAGGGGCTGTGGGAGTGGGGAAGGGCCCTTAGTTCTGCCTAGAGCCAAAATCAGCTATCTACAGCCACTTATAGCCACCTGCGGGCCATGTGGGACTGTCCAGCATCCCCAGAGGGTTCTTGCCTTCATGCCTTTGCTTAGGCAATTCCCCCTTCCTTGAGCACCCTTGTCCCCATTTCCATCTGTATACACCCCACCCATCTTCAAAACCTGTTCCAAAGCCATTACCACCAAGAAGCCTTCTTTTCTCTTCCATTTGCAGTCAGTCTTTCCACTGTGCCCCGGTGACCCCCAATGCAAGCAGTGTACATCTGATCAACACATTCCTCACAAGCAGCAGTTGTAGCATGATTGCTTGTGTCCAAATCTGCCTTCCCCACCAGCTGGAGAAATCCCAGGGCAGAGGTGTGATCCTTCTGCATCCTCAGAGCTGGGCACTGAGCCGCAGTCGCAGCGTAGGCCGAGTTAAGGGGGCGTTTTCTCTGCGGTGCTTGGAAACACTTGGGCATGCTCAGTGAAGCCCATTAGTCCCTTCCTAGAACCAGTCCCCTCTCACCCACTATCCTCCAATCTTCTGACACTCCCTCACTTTGGGGTTCTTTAACCTCTCAGGCCCTTCTCTCCTTCTCCACTCTTAGCCGCCCCCCTCCCCCAGCCTTTATCGTCTAGCGGCTGCAGCATCAGGCTTGTTTCAGCAAAGAAGCAGACCTAGGCGTTATGAGAGAGCTGTCAGAGAGACGAGGACGCGGCTCCTTTAAGAGTGGCCAGCGAGGGGGCGTGGCCTGCGGAGAACTGGCCCGAAAGGGGGCGCGGCTCCTTTAAGAAGCGGCCGGTCCGCTGAGAAGAGGGCCCTGAGACGCAGGAAAAGGCGAGGTCGCTTTCGAAGCTGTAGCACTGCCTGGAGAGCCCGGATTCCTCGAAGCCGGCGCGCTCGGCTTAATCCGGGTGCGAGATGTTGGGAGCGGGCGTTACATCAGCCGCCACGTGTGGGCCTCTCGGCTGGTGTGGGGGCGGTGACCCCGCCCCCCGGCCCCAGCGGTGGAAAAGTACCGGGGCGCCCAGGTCCCCGCCCCCTTGCCCCGCCCCCGGGCCGGCTCGGGCCCCTCCCGGCCCTCCGGGAAAGCCCCCCTCCCGCCCGGCCCCAGCCTCGCGGTCTTCTCCAGCCGGCCGTTGTCTGCGGGGTGCGGGGCACCGGCTGAGGGGGGCGCCCCGGGCGGCTAGGCCCCTACCCTCACCTGCTGCCGCCCGGGCCCGCTTTACGCGCACCCGGAATGAAGCTTGGGGTGGGGAGGGCGAGGATTCTTCCCGGGAGAGCAACCGCCCGAGAACACCGCGGCCGTAGCCCCTTCCCAGAGCCGGGAGCCGCAGACAAGGGTCCGAGGGTCCGAGGCTCCCTGGCACGGTTTCCCAGGACCTTTGGGCGCGCGGGAACCCGCACCCGACCGGCGAGTGGGCGAGCAGATAGGGAGGCAAGCCGGCTGGAGGGGTCAGATAGGCAGCCAGGCCGGCCGGCGGCCGGCGAGAAGATGGAGAGCAGGAGCCCGCATGCGGGGCACAGACCCGGCCCGCCGGTTCCCGGCGTCCGCAGGCCCCAGCGCGCAGACCCACTGGCGCCTCGTACAGACGCTCTGGTTCCGGAGCTGCCGGCACTTTCACGCGCCCGCCGCCTGGGACTAAACCGGCATCGGCACGCAGCTCCCCTTCCTCCAGGAGCAGCCACCCCCACCCCCCACCCCACCGCCGCCGCCCCGCGCCGCCGTTCCGCCCGCTGCAGCTCCTTGGTGACAGCGGTGACACCCAGACGCACGCACCTACCCGACCTTTCCGGCGAGACAGACATCCCCACGCGTGCACCCACTCTCATCCACAGATGCCCGCATGCATGCGCGATCACACACACTCGCTCGCTCGCTCGCTCTCCCTGGGGCTCAGCCCCGTGGAGCTACCAGACGCCCAGACGGACGGCAGGACAGAGAGAGGCCGGGCCGCAGCGCCCCCTCCCACGGCCGCTTACCATGCTGCAGCCCCCGGCCCAGGCGAGCTGGGTCCGCGCCGCGGTGCGCCCAGGTGGCTCTCTTAAAGGGAAAGTTGCATCAGCCTCTTGAGGCTCTGTGCCGCCGCGAGTCTGCCCGCCCCGCCGAGCTGCTCGCCGCTCCTCCTGAGTTTGTTGTGTTTTGGTTTCGGGGAGGCGGGGGGCAAGAGTTTGGTGAAAGTTTGGAGAGTGAAGAAGGCTGGGGAGACCTAGCCAAGTCCCTCCCCTTTCGGAGCAGCTCCCCTGGCCGCCCTGCCCATCCACGCCACCCCCCCACCCCAATCTCATCCCCACCCCCACCCGGCCGGCTTCTCAGGCTCCTCCTCCCAGGGAATAAAATTACAAGTTGCTCCAAGCTTTCCGACGATTGAACCCCACGAACCCCTGGGAGTGGGCTCCACAACGGAGCCCCCTGCTCCGCCCCATCCTCGCTGCCCTCCTGCTGGGGCCCTTGGAGGAAGTAGATGTCGTCCCCTTCGGCTAGGCTGGAATGAAGCCAGAAAGGCCTGGGGCCCTTGGGGGACTGGGGCTGGAGTTAGCCTGCCAGGCCCCCGGCCTTCTGCGCCTGCGTTCCCCCTAGAGAGAAGTCTGAGCAAATTCCATCCCCTTTGGAGCGGTGCCGCTGGGGACTGTGGGCACAGCTGGGTAAGGCCTGGGTCCTGCTCCTTGGAACTGGAGGGCTTGGGGGTCCTTTCTCCACGGACCCTCACACTGGTTTGGTCAAACCTACACTGGCTCGGGTTCTATCCTTGTGTTGGGAAGATCCCGTGGAAAAGGGCATGGCAATTCGCTGTATTCTTGCCTAGAGAATCTCATGGACAGAGTAGCCTGGTGGGCTACAGTCCATAGGGTCGCAAAGAGTTAGACACTACTGAAACGACGTAGCACGCACAGGGGTTGTTGTATTACAAGGGCTGCACACACCAACCTGGGCCCTGTGTTCTCACCCTGGGGAAGCATGCGGAGGTTCCAATCCTAGCTAAAGGAAACTTTGCCAAAGGGAGCTTTGCTGAGCCTCAGTTTCCTGTCCTACGAAATAAACAAAACACCTTGCTCCAGGCTGCCTCTGAGCAGCAAAGCTTGGCAGTTGGTGGAAAGGGGCTCCCACATTTGCTTGTCTTGAGGCCACCAGCTTTCAAGGAGAAGGGCCAGTTAGTACTGGCTGTCAGGGGACTATTGTTGCCCCAGCATGTGCTCAGGAAGGGGACCAGTCTCTTCTCTGCACCCTGAGTCTGTCCTCACTGTTGTCTTCCCAGGAAACCAGTTTTCTTTGTTCCCTGGGGATAGTCACCCTCCAAGAAGCTGATTCACACATGCCAAACTCAAATAAGATCAGTTGACAAGTGAGATTCCACTTTATTAATTTACAGAGGCTCTGAACAAGATAGCAGGTATCAGGGACAGACACTTTCTGCCAAGGAATGCCAGTCCATTCCACCAGGCTTCTCCAGGCCCCAACCACTCAGAACATATAACCTATTCACATTAGAGGCTTGGTCAGAACTGGGATGATTTGGAGACGTTATTCTCATCAGCAAGATTATTTTCGCTTTTACTTTGTCTCCAGCCTTGCAGGTTTGTGATTTGTATTCTATGAATGAACCGCAGGTGACTTACGTGTGTGTGTCCTCTTCCTGAGCAGTCTGTGGCTCCCATGCCCCCAGCTCTTGTGGATTTGTGTAGATGGATCTGTGTTTGGGGGGGAGTGACTGTGCACTGAAGCAGCCCTGGGTCTCAGTGTGCGTGTGTGCCCGACTCTGGGGACTGGGCCCCTGTGATCCAAGCCTCCCTCCCTCTGCCTTTCCTGCTGGGACATAACTTCTCTTACTGGTCTCTCCCTCCCTCCCTCCTGCTGGGGCTTGTAATAAAGGGCCACGACACAGGGAAGACAGGATGGAGGCTGCTGGAAGATCCTCCATGGAGTGGAGTGGGGACAAAGAAGAATAGGAGGGTGGGACAATGGCCTCCATTCCCCTTGAAGGAGTAGACTGGGGCTGGGGGCCCCTGAGAAGAGAGCCCTGCATGTCAGTGAAGCTTCTGGGACCAACATGGCCATCCCACTCTAAGGACTCCATGTGAACCGGGGTGGGGGTGGGGGTGGGGAGTGGGCTGGGATTGGAAGAAGCGAAGGGGAGGAGAGCTCAGGGCTCAGTCCTGAGTCAGGGAGAAGGTGCATTTGGGATGAATCCCGGGGCAGGGCGACAGTCTCACACTTTAGTCCGTGGGATGGGGGAAATAGATTTTCCCTGGGGATTTAGGAAAGTTGGTGATGTTGCCCACATGGGTTTTGCTAGACTGATGACATCACACAAAGTGCATTTGCATACATACGGAAACTTATAGATCTGTGCATTTTACCCATTTTGATCTAGAAAGGACTTCAAGCAGATGCACAATGAGGTGAGTCCTGAGGAAAAGCTTAGGAGAAAGATTCTGGTTTGAAAAATCATCTGTCTCCGCGATTCAGAGACTAAAAGTGCCTGTTTTCTTCCAACCAGAATAAGGCCCCAAGGGAGGCAGGTTTGGGCCTAGCCCAGGTCAGAGCCGAGATGGCTTCACCCCCACTGTGAGCTCCCCACCCTAGACCGCTGGCCCACAGGATGGGAAGGGCATGGCCAGCCTGAGCCATCGTGGGGAGAGGAGGGGGCTCAGGCCAGAGGACAGGGGGAGGACCGATGGGGTCAGACATCTCGCTGGCTGGCTTCTTCCTGAGCAGGGCAGCAGGAGGACAGGCAGCGGCCGGGCCCCACCCACTGTGGTCTAAGGCGTGTCTCAGGAGCCTCCCCTTGCAGTGCTATTTCCTGGGAGGGCTGGGTCCACGTCAGATGCCCTGGTGCTGACTCGTTTCACTTGTCATCATCAGCTCGAAGAAGCAAGGCCTCTGTCGGGTGGCACAGGGTGTGCTTAGGTCGTGTCTGGTGGGATGCGGGATCAGGCCAGTGTGGGCCACTTCTGGAAGGCACTGTAGGGGCTGGCAGCACTGGGCACTTGGTGGAGGGGTGCGGGGAGATCCTGGGAAGAAGTGGGGGGAAGGTGGACATTGCTTTGAGGTACAGCCTGACCTGACCAGGCTTGAAGACCCAGCCTCAGGAGCTGCAGAAACCCACCTGGGCTCTGCTCTCAGATTCTTCCTCGCTTGAATGCCTAGTGGTCAGTGCCTAGCACCTTTCCTATCCTGTCCCAATGCAAGGGAGGAATCTAGGTTGGTTCCAGAGCCAAGAGCTGCCTCTGGGGCTCCATGTGTTCTTCAGGCCATCCTGCTGTGCTTACTGTGGCCCTGGTCCAGGTGGTCAGCATGAGCCAATTACAGGAATCAGAGCAGGGGCCCAGGCTGGATCTCAGCAGCTGCAGGTGAAATTAGAAAGAGAATTGGAAACATTGACTTTGGCCTGTCTTGGGTACAGCCCTGATGTCCAGAGCATTCAGTGTTCAGATTTCTAAATACGTTAGAGCTCTCAAAATCTAGGATTCCAAACGCCAAGGATGCCAGAGCTATGAACACCACAGCAAACCCGAAACCTAGAGTTCCCAGCACCCAGAGGCCCTAAATGCCCAGAGCACCTCATGTCTAGGCCTCTGGGGTTCCTAACATCCAGCACTCAGAGTGCCAATTCACCGGAGAGGAATCTGGAGTTGGGGGAGTGGTGGCCCTGTTGACCCAGGCCCCTTCAGTGACTGGCATTCCCTGAGGAGTGCCCATCACGGAAGCTGGGCCAGGGGTGGTGCTGGAAGCAGCAGCAGTGCTTCCTTGATGCTCTCATCCTGTCCTGAAGTGGGATGGAGACTGGTGACTTTTCCTCCAGTCCCTCCCCACCGCAGGTCACGTGACCCGTGTAAGTGAATGTCCACTTACTCACCACGTATGAATGTACATCTACTCTGTGCTGGGAACTGCGCTGATTT